AAACAAGTTGTTATCAAAATATATACGAAAAAAAATTTCTTCATGAACCTAGACCCCAGGAATACACAAATATGTATATGAGTGACTTGAGAAATCAAATATCAAAGTACAAATAAATTAATCCTCCGATTTTTTGGCCCTTGATAACTGCACACTAATATGTACATATAAGCATGCGCATTTCTTTTCTGGTCACATGCAAATCTAATAACCTATACGTTAATATGTATTAAAAAATAAAGTTTTATAGTTTTGTAGGCTTAATAAAAATAAAAATTTTAATATGTGCACATACCCGTGGCCAAATACTTTAGCGTTATAGCAATTCTCTCCTCTGCACTGAATGATTTCTTCTTCCGATGCGGCTCATAGGAACTTATAACTGGTGATAGGTTATTCACCAAGTATCTGAACTGTCGCTCCGTTATGTCGAAAAAACAATTAAAGTGATATATCTCATTACTACGGAATTGTATTTCTTTGCGTAGATTTTCTTTGCTCAAAAACTCTGTTTGGTTCTTTTTCAACCACTCTTTTGTCCATTCCAAACGACGTTTACAATTCAATATTCCGGCCAAATCCGAGGCAGACATTTTAGGTAACTGACGCACAAGCGCTGCTGCAGTGGTGGGGCGGTTAGCTGGGACACAATTGCCACCACTTCCAGCACCGTCATTCTTCCCATCTTCAGCACGACCTGCAACAACAGCAACATTGCCTCCACTATCAGCAATCGCAGAGGTAAGTGTCACCACACGACAAACGCCATTTCCATTGCCATTTGTAACACCTTCACGCTCACGTAGCACACCTATAGTTTTGACTTTTAATTTCTCCATATCGCAGATGTCTTGAGGCTCCTGCTAGATCGTTTTTATCTCAATTCGCTGGCGAACTTTTCACAGCACCCGAGTCGAAAAACGAAATCGATTTTCGCTATTTCAAATTCGGGCGAAACACGCCTTTCGAGTAAATACTGCGTAAGGAAATCCCAAGCACACAAATTTTGTTTAATACTTTTTCTTATGTTCGATTAGGTGTGGTCAATCAGTTTCCACGGGTGAAATGCATTCAAGAAACATATTCTTATTAGATTTTTACCAACTTGATTTTTATGGAATGTCGAGCTAGCAAATAACGAGCAATACAAGGAGAGCAACAACAAAAGTACGCACCGAAAAATGGCAGCAGGCAGCACAAACGTACACACACCGTCGGCTGATCAGCGATACTTGCTGGCAGTGTTGTTGCTTCTATAGCCGATTGCGATGCGTTTCCTATGCAGCGAAAAATTAAAAACTTCAAAATAAATGTGAACGAACTTCCATGGAAATCTGTTATCCAATTTCACGAACGTTACTGTAGTTTATTT